ACTTCTCACAATGAATGTAACCATTATGCACTGCAAATGTACTAATAAAAATCAAAATTTAAATAAATAAATACATCTAAATTATTTCAGGGAAGACAAAAGGCAGATCATATGGGCCTTTTAAGTTATATGAGTTTATATTTTATTTGGTGTGGAAACAAGTCCTAAAAGGTTTTTGAACAGGAAGTTATATGATCTAATATATATTTTTAAAAAACAATTCTGAGTTAGGTAGATAATCTACAACAGGGGAGCACAAAGAAAAGTAGAGACCAGTACGTGTATTATGTACATGTACCAAATCCCCATGATGAATGTAATTGTTATATACTACCCCAGAAACATGTACTAATAAAAGTAAAAAATGTTTTGAATAAATAAATAGAAACTAGGAAAGACCAACTGAGAAACTTATCAATATAATATTAGTAATGAAAAATTTATGCTTAAAACATCAACTGCAAATCTGTGGAAGGTAACTAGAAGTATTCATGGACATAGAAGAGAATGTAAGCCATACTCCTGAAATTTCTGAAGTGATAGCAACTAAAGTAAAGAAGCAATTCCAGGAAGCTATAAAGGATCTTAGATCAGAAATAATCTCCCAGGCCAGAGGTTTAGCTCAATGACACAGCATCTGCCTGGCAAGTGTGAGGTACTGAATTCGATTTCCTGTACCCACAAAAAAATTTAAAAAAAGAAATAATCTCCCAGGTAAAAGAAGAAATGATAAACGTAATAAAAGAAATGCTGAACACATCTAAAGACCTAGTTTAAAAAATCAAGGAGCACTACAAAAAGATGGAAGGCTTGCATGAACAACATAAGCAAACAATAGAATACATAAAACAGATTCAAGGAGACATCCAGGAAATCAAACAAACCATATGAATGAATGTGAAGACAGACTTTCAGACCTAGAAGACAAGACTGCAGCCAGGGAACATGAAAGGAAAGATCTGTTAAAAATAATGAGGAACTAGGAAATAGCAATTCAACAGTTGCAAGATGATGCAAAGAAAAATAATGTAAGATAGGTGTAAATGAAAGAGAAGGTGACAACAAAAATATCAAAAGACTATTTACAGAAATAATAGCTGAAAATTTCCAAAACATGGGAAAAGAAACTGACATATAGGTAAGTAAAATATATAGAACTTCAATTAGCCATAACCAAAAAAATATACACCCAGACATACAATAATCACCACCTTAGAAATTCTACATAAGAACAGAATATTAAAAGCTATTAGAGGGGCTGGGGATTTAGCTCAGCGGCATCAGCGCCTGCCTTGAAAGCAGGCAGTCGTGAGTTCGATCCCTGGTACCGATAAAAACAAAAAAAAAAAAGACCAAAAAAAAAAAAAAAGCTATTAGAGAAAAGAGACAGATCACCTATAAAGGAAAGTCCATTAGAATCATAGCGGATTTCCCAACACAAACAATGAACTCAAGAGAAGCATGGAGTGAAGTATTTCAAATCCTGAAGGAAAATGATTTCCAACTCAGATTTATGTCCCCAGAAAAACTGTCCTTTAAAGTTTAAGGAGAAACAAGATACTTCCATGATAAAGAACAGCTCAAGAACTTCATGACCACCAAACTAACCATGAAAAGAATACTAAAAGATATTCTAGATAGACATCGGAAAGAACCACTAAGCAAGGCAAATAATTAAACAGAGGGGAAAGGGAACCAACAGCAAAAAGATAACATGACAAAAATAAACCAATATATATCAGTTATAACCATTAATGTAAATGGCCTCAATTCACCCATTAAAAGAAACAGACTGGCAAAATGGAACAAGAAACAACATCCAACAATATGCTACATACAAGAAACCTATCGAACCCAAAAGGAAACTCATACACTGAAAGTCAAAGGATGGAAAACAATACTTCACACAACAGGAACCCCCTAAGAAGCATGGGTAGCTATTCTGTTTGCAGACAATGTGAATTTCAAATCAAAAATAATCAGAAGAGATAAAGAAGGTCACTACATAACCAGGTAGGAAAAAACTTCAAGAGGAAGAGATAACAATTCTAAATATACATGTACCACATAAGGGAGCATCTAGCTATATAAAATAAATATTAATAGAAATGAAAAATCAAATAAGCAATAACACAATTATAATGGGAGACATTAACACCCCATTAATGCAAAAGAGAAGTCAACTAGACAGAAAATCAGAAAAGAAATAACAGAACTGAATCACACCTGTGAACAAATGGACTCAGTGGATGTGTACAAAGGGTTCCACCCAACAACATCAGAATACATATTCTTCTAAGCTGCACATGGGACAGTCTGTAAAACAGACCATATACTAGCCACAGAACATGCTTAAGGAGATGCAAAACAATCGAAATTATCTCATGCCTTAAGGAAATGCACAACAATCAAAATTATCTCATGCATTATTATCTGGCCATAGTGCTATAAAACTGGAACTTAATGACAAAAGCAATTGCAAAAACTCCATAGACACACGGAAATTAAATAACACTCCTGAACAATCAATGGGCCATAGAAGAAACTACAAGAAATTAAACAGTATCTACAACTAAATGAAAATACAAATACATATTACTGGAACCTGCGGGATGCAACGAAAGCAGTTCTCAGAGGAAAATTTATTGCGGTGAACTCTCACATCAAGAAAACTGAACAAACACAAACAGCCAGATGCTATACCTCAAGCATCTACAAAAAGAAGACCAAGTCAAGCCCAAAGCCAAAAGAAGGGAGGAAATTATAAAGATCAGTGTGGAAGTCAATGCAATAGAGACTAAGAAAACAATACAAAGAATTAATGAATCAGAGTCGGTTCTTTGAAATAATAAATAACATCAAAAAGCCCCTGCCAACCTTATTTTTAAAAGGAAAGAAAAAACTCAAAGTCATGCAATAAGGAATGAAAAGGTGAAATCACTACAGATCCTGTGGAAATACAGAAGATCAGAAGATCATCAATACCTATTTTGAAAACCTCTCATGGGTTTGATAACACAGAAGAAATGGACAGATTCCTAGAAACATATGAATTACCAAAGCTGAATCAAGAAGATGGTAAAACTGTTGAATAGTTATTAGAACCTTACCAATGAAGAAAAGCACAGGTCCTTATGGATTCACTGTGGAATTTTACAAGAAATTCAAGGAAGACTTAATGCCAACAATCCTCAAACTCTTCAATAAAATTGAAAGGGAAGCAATTGTCCCTAACTCATTCCTGGAAGCACGTATGACCCTAATACCAAAACCAGAGAAAGACCCAACCAAAAAGAGAACTCCAGGCCAATCTCCCTAATGAACACAGATGTAAGAATCTTCAATAAAATACTGGTAAACAGCATGCAGCAAGTCATCATGAAGATCATATATTACAATCAAGTGGGATTCGTCCCAGGAATACAGGGATGGCTTAACATATGCAAATCAATAAATGTAATTCATCGTATCAATAGAACCAAAAATAACTACATAATCATCTCAATAGATGCAGAAAAAGCTTTTGATAAAGTCCAACAGTCATTCATTATAAAAACCCTACGGAAAATTGGAATAGATGATCTTTTCCTCAATCTGATAAAAGCCATCTATGACAAACTAATAGCCAGCATCATATTAAATGGTCAAAAACTGAAAGCTTTCATTCTAAATTCAGGACAAGACAAGACTGTCCACTATTACCAATCCTACTCAGTATAGTGCTAGAAATATTAGCCAGAGCAATTGGAGGAGAGAGAAATAAAACAAAGATAGAAAGGAAGAAGTTAAACTATCATTATTTGCAGATGACCTGATACTTTATATAGAAGACCCCCAAAACTCCATTGAAAGACTTCTAGGTAAAATAATCAAATTCAGTAATGTAACTGTATACAAAGTCAGCACTCAAAAATCAACACATGTTTATAGCAGCACAATTTGTAATAGCTAAATCTTGAAAACAACCCAAATGCCCATAAACTGAGGAATGGATAAAAAAAAGATGTGGTATTTTTATACAATGGAATAGTAATCAGCTATAAAGAAAGACCACATTGAGTATTTTATAAGTAAACAGATGTGACTTGAGACCATACTTGTAAGTGAAATAAATCAAATTCACATGTGTAAATACCATATTGTCTCCCTAGTGTAAGAAACTGAAAGAGTAAATAAGATACAAAATCTTCAATAAATATTGTGAAAGAGTAAGAAACTGCTCAAAGAGGAAAAAAACCACAGGGAAAAAGAAAAGAAGCAAGAGAAATGAGTAAGATATAAATTCATATATATACACTTAAGATTACTAAGATGTTTGTACTACTATTAGTTCTTGGAACAAAACAAATAACATCCCTAGGAGCAGATCAATTTTGCATGACTATATCTGGTAATTCAAATAAGATTTATAGAGATAACTATGCAAAACAACAAAAATTGTTTTTTGTTTCTACCACCTTGTTTTGAAAGCCTACATTGTTATTGTTTCGGCTCTTAGATAGTTATTTATTTGTTGTTTTGGTTTTTCCTCTAATACACATAGATGTACATGTATATACTTACATATGCCTAGAACTTCACCTAAAGAGTTTACAAGAATTGATTTTAGTATTGTGACAGTATGGACTAAATTGAAGAAAAGAAGACATCATGGTAGCCATTGATAATTTCCTATCATTTTGATTCAAAAGCCAATAATGCTTTTATTCTTGGTTTGGGTCTGTTTTCAATTATTTGATATGTATGAAGATATGGACAGCTATTTTGAAAAAAATAAGAGAAATTATGGTAGCCATTATTGATTTCCTAATGTCTAGTCTTGACAGCACTTAAAGCTTTCATTCTTGTGTTTTGATTGCTTTTATACTATGTGTATTAACTTACTAGGTATAAAGGTATGGACAACTATTTTGAAGACGAGACATTATATTATGGTAGCCAATGTTGATTTCCTGCTTTTTCTGAAATCCTGCGTTAATTGCTGTTTTACTTTGCACTACTTTGTTCTGCTTTGTTTTGTTTTGTTTTATTCTTTTTAAAATAAAAAAGTGGGCATCTGAAACGAATAGACACTTCTCAGATGAAGAAGTACAAACAGCAAATAAATATATGACAGAATGTCCAACATCACTGGTCATTCAAGAAAAGCAAATTAAAACAACACTGAGATTCCATCTCACCCCAGAAAGAATGGCTGTTATCAAGAAATCAATGAATAACAAATACTGGACAGGCTGTGGGGGAAAAGGAACTCTTTTCTGCTCTTGGTGGGGGTGTAGACTGGTGCAGCCACTGTGAAAATCAGGGTAGAGATTCTTCAAGAGACCATACTCTTAGGTGAAATACATTGGACATACATATTTAAATATCTCATTGTTTCTCTGATGTGAGAAACCCAAAGAGAAAAAAAGAAGCAAAATAGAAAACAGATATTAGGAAGCAGGAAAAAAATGTTCAAATGTGAAGAACAAGGGAGGGGGAAGGGGGAAGGGAAGGGAGGGAAAAGAAAAAAATAGAAACAAAGCTTTTGTAAATAAGGAGTGCAAGAGGGGTGTTAGAGGGAAGGGAAATGGGGAAAAAAGAAGACACAGACTTATTTTGTATAGGTACAAATTCCCTATAATAATATGATCATTATGTATACCAAAAGTATACTAATAAAATTAATTTGAAAAAAACAGTCTACTGCAGCATGGGCTAGTGGGTCAATGGGTCTGTGGCATGGGTTTACGGCCTTTAGCAACCCACTGTAAGTTTAGACAAATGTTTCTTTTTTATTATAATCATTGAAACATTAGGTGTGCAAATAAATAGGCTTCACGGTGACACTCACATACATGTGTATATCTTGTCTCCTTCCTTCATCTTTTTCCCCTTTATTAAAAGTCCCTCCTTTACTTTTCTATTTTCCACATATTAGAGAAAATGTGTGATATCTATCTTTCTGTGTCTGGTTTAACACGATTTTCTCTAGTTTCATCCACTTTCCTGCAAATGACATAGTTTCACTCTACTACGTGGCTGAGTAGTACTATGTTGTCTATATGTATCATCATACCTCAGCAATGCTAATAGTGCCACAATAAATACGGGCATGCAAGTGACTTCAACTCCTTTGGAATAGCGGGGTCATAAGGTAGATCTAGTTTTAGTTTTGAGGAACCACCATACCATTTCTTACTGTGGCTGTACTAATTTGCTCTCCCATCAATACTGCCTATGAGTTCTTTTCCTTCCACATCTTCCTTTGGAGAAGTATCTTTTCAGGTCACTCTTCCATTCTGATAGGATTACTTATTCTTCAATTGTTGTAGTTTTGAATTCATTATGGACACTGAGTATGAACCTTTGACATGGTCTTCCTGGCCAGTGCTTGGCTTCTCCTCTAGTGACTGTGTTCTGCCCATGGGAGACAGGGCCTGTGTCTGTCTCTTTTTGGAGGCATCTGACCTTCCGGAGACTTAGGCTACTTAGTTGTTTTCTACCATACACTGTCTGATGAGTGAAAGAAATGTTATCATTTTGTAGTTTGTCTAACATTTTATTATAGTTCGGGTGGAAATAAATAATGTTCTTTTTCCTTTCTTCATTCAGAAACAAAACTCCAAAATTTAGCAACATTTCAAAGTAAATTTCTCTTTTTACTAACCAATAAAGTCTTCTTTGTGGAAGACTTCTCCAGACAATGCTTTTTACACATTTAAATCTATGGACTCTGAGCAAACTTGTTGGTCTGTGTCCTGGTCACTATCACAGATTTACACATTTTGTTTTTGCATTGTTCTTTGTGCTGGAAACTGAACCCAGGGCCTCACTCATGCTAGGCAAGCATTCCACCACTGAATTACACCCTCAACCCCTGTCCCCACACATATGTTTTTGAAATCACTAGCATACTCTAAGATGACAAAAAATAATAACTTATAAAACTATTACCTATGGCTTAAAATTACTAAGATCAACTATAGTTCTAACAGCTATAGTAATTTAGTTATACGCAAACGCAAACAAAATTTAAAACCAAAAACATCACTATACTAAGGTACAAAAATGATTTTACTTGCACAAGTGGCCAAAAATAGCTTCTAAATATATGCAAGTTTTGAATTTCCTAATTCCTATGTGTCATAAAGCGTGTGAGACAAGAAAGGCACTGAGGTGGCTAGGTGCTATCCTCAGGACATGAAGCCAAGAGGCAGGCCATGAGATCCTGTGAGAACACTTCCCACAAAAATGTAAACTGACTCTGGCAAATTACTGCAATTACATCTATTAATTTAAGCAATTTGATATATATTTTCTGAGCAACATGAAAAAATCTACAAAACTGAAGAATGCTGTGACTTCCAAGCAACTCTGACAACTCAATCTGCCTTACCATTTAATCATAACGCATAACAACTAATTTTTCTCCATTGATTGTAGTATATAATTAGTATGTTTGACTCTCCAATTTTTTGTTTATTTGTTCTGAGACAGGGTCTTGTTATGTAGTGCAGGCTGGCCCTGAACTCACTATGTAGTCTGGGCTGGCATGGAACTCATAGTCAACCTCCTGCCTCAGTCTCCCAAGTGTAGTACTATGCCCAGCTATCCTTAGTATTTTCTTTAAAAAAACACTAAACAAGAAAAACAGTTTTAAAAAGTAAACTATTTTAGCACATTACTTTTTAGAACTTGTTTCTGGGTCCAGAGCTGAGTTTAACATTAATTTCTTATTTGTATAAAGAAATTTAACTTCTATAGCAAAAGATGTCATGAAAGTTAACTTGCACAGTAGATTTTCATAAAAATGAAAATAACTTTTCAGTTACTTTTTTGTTTGTTTGTTTTTTAGTACCAGGAATTGAACTCAGGACCTTGCGCTTGTCAGGTAGGCACATATGCCATATCCAGCCCCAAAAATCACTTTTTAAAGTAACTTTCACTATAAAATTGCTAGACACATTAATCAGGACATACAGTCAGACAAGTGGTATCATGTGGTCAAACATATGCCCAATGAATTAATTACCAAGGGTATTGTAGGGTATCATTTAACCATCTTTCAGAACAATCAAATTAATTTCCCTCTTTTACATTAAAATTTAAAAGTAATCATAAAGGAAGAAAGGAAAATGTAAGAATTTTATAGATTTCTCAGCATCACAGTGCTGGAACCCATGTCCTGCCATATCTGCAGTTTGGGCAGAGTTGGTATTGCTAATAAACTGCTTGATGTCTTTATATGTACATATTAAACCACAGAACACTATAAAATGAAATATATGGTACTTCCTCCTGAAATAGCCATTAGTTGAAGTTCAAGTATTTTTAGAACCATTTAGCTCCCAGGAAAGATATGAGTTTGAGTCCCCTGTGGAAAGTGAATTTCCTTATCTTCAAGGCCTCTGTGTAAGACACAGATTGAATTGCTTCAGGGTCACTCAAAGTCTCGAGTGCCCTAGAGATTATTTTGGCACTTTGACTCTCATGTTGTCTGAAATGTTTGGCAATGCCTCAGAATTTCATAAAAGAAGAAGAAGAAAAAAAACTGAAACCCACAAAATTTATGGGAAAAAAGTCATAATTAGGTGCATTTGCCAAGGCAATCATATTCATTCAGGAAATACTCATGAAGATGTGTCTCAGTTATGGCTTCAGTTTAAACAGCTTTTAACAACTCACTGGGTAGTTACAATTCAATATGTCTTACTCAAGGCAGAAACAGGTCAGCTCTACTTTTTGTGATAGATGTAAAATTAAATGCACAAAATTTCAAACATGTTCTAAACCTTTCCTAAGTAAAACTTTCTCCCACTGGCTAACACCTTCGATTTCTTACAATTTTTACTGACTTACTAAATGTCAACTGGACATTACTTAACAGCATTGTCATATGTGAATGAAAATGCATCTATTGCCATCCTGTGGCCATTTCTGTGTATATAAAAATGAAAACAATGTGACTTCTAAAGAGATTTTAGTCTCAAAATCTAACCACAGATATTTTCATATGAATTAATGCACTTCTAATTTTAAGAAAAAAATTTTAAAAACCAAACTAAATGAACTATAACTGACCAACAGTGGTAACAGTGAGTATCAAGAGATGTTTTCTTAGGAACATTTATTTTCTCATACTACACAACTATCATGATTAATTTTTAAATCACCAAGAGAACACTTTAATAGGCAACTTTGCAAAGGATTCTAAAATATAATTCAACATTAATGTACTGTGCTTAGGTTTTTAAAAAGCCAGAGCCAAGGTTCTGAAAAGTCAGAGTAAAAGAAGAGGTGAAAAAAATGGAAAAGCTAAACCACATGGCATAATCTTGGTATGTATGAGATGCACAGGCTCAAAGGCCCATGCTAAGCAACGCTCCTCCACTTAGCCCTGTTTCAGCCCTGGCGTAATCTAAGTAAACCGCCATAAGCACTTTTCCTTCATTTATGTCCATAGTAATATTTGCAATTACAATAGCATTTAACAACATGTACTCAACTATTACTTGAAAGTTAAATAAAAATCAGCTCTTATTTTTTCAAATCCATTTATTTCAAGAGAAAAAAATCAGCTCTTAAAGCAAAAAATAACCAAAAACAAAAAAAACTCTACTACTCAAAATATTCTTAATATTTCTTTCTGGTTTGTATAAAGTTTTTAAACAAAAGAGATCTTAATTTCCACTGCCAAATTTTCAAAACTTGGGTTATATGAGATGTAAAGAACTGAAAAGCAAGAAGGCAAACAAAGCACAAAGCCAACAGCCTTGCAGAAGTATAAAGACAGCATCAAAATAACTTAATGCTGACTGTGAGATTCTACAACTTTGATAACACAGAAGTATAGAAAATTTCATGCCTATAATAATATGTAATATGAGAATTATTTGTTTTTATATTATAATTGTTGGTCGGTGTCACTCCACACCACTAAACAGTTGTTACAAAATTGTTAACAGTCATAAATCTTGCCTGAAGCATAGTATAACTTAAGACAGATAGCAATGACATACAGATAGATCTAGGTACAGAAAAAAGGACTGATATTTAATTTATACAAGAATCAAAAAAGTAGCCAGGCTTGGTGGTACATGCCTATAATCCTAACACTCAGAAGGCTGAGGCAGGAGAATCATTGCAAGTTTGAGACCAGCCTGCACTACAAAGTGAGCTCAAGGCTAGCCTGAACTGCATAGACTCAAAGAGACCCCTCCCAAAGAATCAAAAGGTAACGTTAAGAAAAAACACTAAAGATTTAAAAAATCAATTATGAATAATGCTTATTGGTAAAATACAAGATTCTTCATCCAAATCAACAAAAATGTGAGAGAAAAAGAAACTAGAGACAAGACAACAACGTACATAAAAGCAAAGAATTATCATTATAGAGAGGTGCAAGGGGCAGGTTAACAAGGGCATCTCTTATCATGTACTAAACTAAAATCAAAATGGTTCAAGGATCTAAATGTTAAAGCAGAAACAATCAGCTGGAAGATAAAATAGTTCTCTGGAAGACATAGGCATAGTAGCCAAGGACTTTCTGAACAGATCCCCAATTGCACAAGAAATAATATCAAGAATCAACAAATGGGATTATATTAAATTAAAAAGCTTCTACACAGCAAATGAAACAACCAGCATAGTGAAAAGACAACCTACCAATTTGCCAGCTGTTTCTGAGACAGAGGACTAGAATATCTAGGATATACAAAGAACTCAAAAAAATCAAAGCCACCAAAATAAAAAACACTCAAAAAATGGGTAACTGGAATGAACAGACACTTCCCCAAGAAATATAAATAGCCAACAATACATGAAAAAATGTTCAACATCTTTGGTCTCACAGAAGTATACATACAAAACTGAGATTCCATTTTGCTCCAGAAAAAATAGCTCTCATCAAGAAATCAAACAATAATAAATGCTGGAGAGGCTGCAGGGGGAAAAAAAAAAAGAATCCTTCTGCCTTGTTGGTACGAATGTAAACTAGTATAACCACTATGGAAATCAGTATAAATATTACTCAAAACTTAAAACTAGAAATTCCATTCAATCTAGCTATTTTTCTCCTACGTATCTTTCTGAAAGAATTAAAGACATCATTTATAGTGATACATGCCTACCCATATTTACAGCACCACAACTCATGATAGCTAAGTCTTGGAAGCAGCCTATATGTTCATCAATACATGAAAAAAGAAAATATGGTATTTATACCTCGTAGAGTATAACTATGCCATAAAGAAGGATAAACTTGAGTTATTTGTAGAAAATGAGAGCATAATATTAAAATAAGTCAGACGTACAAGCTTAAATAAAATGATTTCTCTTGTATAGAACCCAAAATATAAACCAGGTATAATGGCAAACACCTGTAATCCCAGTGCTCTGCAGTCTGAAGCAGGAGGATTGCTGTGAGCTCAAGGCCAGCCTGAACTACATAGTGAGACCCTGTCTCAAAAAAGACCCCCCCAAAAAAGAAACCCAAAATATAAACAAATTAAAGAGCAAAATAAAAGACAGATCATAGAAAACAGGGAGATAGATCTTTTGCAAAAAGAAAAATCAACCAAAAGATGAAGGGGCCATGGAGGGGAAGGGGATATAAAAAGAGAATTATAATGTATTATGTACATATACCAACTCCACACAAGAAATGTAGTCATTATGTACTGCAAACACAATACCAGCAGAAAATTTTTAAATGGTGGGATACAGGTAAAAGGGGAGATGGATATGACTGGAATACATTATAAGCACTGATCCCCAAACACGAAACTAGGGGAAAAAGTGAGTGAAGGAGGGGTGATGGAGGGTAAAATGATTCAAGTTTATTACGTACATGCAGATGTCTTTCAAAATAAAACCTATTAATTAAGCAATATGCACTAAAAAATGTGAAAAAAATTTCTCATCATATTTGTTTAATACTAGGACAAGTATCAAACTATTGTATTATTATGAAAAGCCTTACCTTGCAAAAGAGAAATATCAGATATATTTTGTACACACATTAAACGACTTTGTACTGGCATGTGTTCAACCTGCTTAACATCCTGATCTTGCTTTTGTTGATTCTGAAGAACATAAGACATGAAGTCATATTACATTTTTTAACCTTAAAAATTAAATAAAATTATTCAAGTATTTATTATTATATAAAACTTTAACAATATAGTTGTTTTCAAATTACCTTGTCATTTGATTATTTATTAGCAGTTCTATGGTAGTAGAATATAAGTTTTAAAAAATGACTGCAAGACAATTTTTAAAATGATTTAAAATTTTTTTAAATGATTACAAGGAAATTTAAAATATTTTTATAATGTACACAAGTTTCAAATACTTCAGTCATTTCTTATTTTGTTAGAGAATTCAGAACTACTTATAAAACTATTCTAGATTTATATACACATCGTAGACTTAGACAACAAACAATTCTGCTGTAAGTTCCTCTATATAACATTTTTGTATAAAATGAAAATTTACATAATACAGTGGAATTTTCAGAGTTTATATATATAGTAACATAATTTAATTTTCCCACATGTGAGAAGGTATTGTTATCCTCCATTTGCTATTCAAGAAATGCATGTTCCCCATGTATGGTGGTGCACGCCTATCACTTCAGCCCTTGGGAAGCTGAGGAAGGAGGATCACTATGAGTTCGAGACCAGTCTAGGCTACAAGACGAGTTCATGGCCAGCCTGCACTACACGAGAATCTTGTCTCAAAAAAAAAAAAAAAGAAAGAAACACATGCTCCACCATAAGCCCTATCATCTTTCTTCCTTGCCTATAACTAACTGTATCCAAAATTTACAAGTCAACAATTTCTTAACAACCAAATCACAAACTGCAATGACCATAGCCATTTTCTTTTTTTATTTGATGTACTTTGTTATGAATGACTTCTAAAAACAGCGAGCAGGTACACATTCACAGGAACTTTTAGTCCTCACCAGTGAGCGTAGGCAGGACACCTGAGGCTTCTGTCCATGTGCTCCAGCTCTCAAAAGTGCAGCACCTCTTGGAGAGGCAGATGTGAGTGGCTTTAGCTACAGTGGTAACAAACAACAAGCCTCAACTCTGACTTTTCAAATGCAGTTATCAGTTACAGTAAGTTTCTCTCTCGAAGGGAATACAATTTCAGTGTATATTCGAAGACAGGAGTTACAGGTTGAACATCTCTACTTCAAAACTGCAAACTCTGAAATGCTCCAAAATCCCAAACTCTTTGTGTACTGGTATATTAATGCCTCAAGTAGAAAATTTTCCACTTGACCTCAAGTGATAAGTGGCAACTAAGAATACAAACACACTAAATATATAAAATTATCTTTAGACTATGTGTCTAAGGTGTACAGGAAACAAATTTTGTGTTTGGACTTGGGCCCTAGCGCCAAGGCATCTCATTAAGTGTATGTAAATCACTTTTTAAAGGCCTGAAATCCAAGCATTTCAGAGATGGGCCATTCAGCTCAAACTGCTTGCCATCCCTGGCTCTGACTGCTGACTCAGAGCCTCTGTACTGCTTCTATCCTTGCTCCAGAGAACAGGAGCCCTGGATAGTCGAGGCCTGAGTCCAAGTTGGCCAGGCTGCTCTCTGGCTTTGACCATGAGCAAGTTACTGAACACTGATTTCGTCATTCATAAAATGAGGATAATAAGAACAAATACTTCATTAGCTTGTCATAAAGATTAAATGAGTTAAAACATAAGGAATTTAGGATCTAGCAAAGTAAGCTCTGTAAGTAAGTGTGTTATCATTACTAAAGAAATTAACAGCCAGGCATGATGGTGCATGCCTGTAATCCCAGTACTCTGAAGGCTGAGACAGGAAAACTGTTGAGAGTTCAAGACCAGCCTGTGGGGGCTGGGGATTTAGCTCAATGGCATAACTGCCTGCCTGGCAAGCATGAGGTCGTGAGTTCAATGCCTGGTACCAAAAGAAAAGACCAGCCTGTGCTACTAAATGAGTTCACAGCCAGCCTGAACGGTATAATGAGATCCTGTCTCAAAAAGCCAAAAAAAAAAAAAAAAAAAAAAAAAAAAAAGGGAGGAGCAGAAAAAAAGAAATTAACAAGAAATTTTAAAGAAATCTAACAAAATTTATTTCTTGAGGTTCACTCTTCTGCAAACACTTTGTAATTTTATTTAACAACAGGCCAACAATTAAAAGCCAGCAATCTTTTAAATTTTAACAGCTTTACTGAGGTGTGACAAGGTAATGAACTATGTATATTTAAAATGTACGGCTGCTAAGTTCTGACATACGTACATGGAACAATCATCATCCTCGGGGTAATACAATGTACGCATTCATCCATCTCGAGTTTTCTCATGCCACTCTGGATTTGCTTCCTATTCCCCTCTCCACTTCATCTCTCACCATCCCCAATAAAGATAGAAAATGCTTTTTGTCAATGCATTTTCTAGAAATTTATATAAATGGAATCATAAAGTATGTATTTTGGGAAAGGGGAGCCAATTTCTTTGATTCGACCTTTTTGCAAGAAAAATCATGTTCTATGTATCAGTAGTTCATGCATTTTTATCATTGATCAGTATTCCATTGTATAGGATATAAAATGATCTGTCCATTCAGTTGAACATTTGTGCTGTTCATTTTTGGCTAGTACAAATACAAAGTTGTGATGAATATTTATATACATGACTGTATAGACAGGTTTTTGGTTTCTCTTGGGAAATTAGGAGTAAAATGCAGGAATAAATGTATCAGGTGTGTGTTTTATTTTTAAGAAATAGCCAGGCTGTTTCCAAAGTAGCTGGATCACTTTACATTTCCAATGGCACCCTCTCAGATTTAATTGTTCTACATCCTTGCTAACACAGGTACTTGCTATGAGTCTTTTGAATTTTACGAATGCACAGTGGCATCTGACTGTGATTTCATTTTCATTTTCCTAGTGACTAACAATGCTGAGAACCTTCTTTCGGTGTTTCATTTTGTTTTTTAAGATAAGGTCTTGAACTCATAGCAACCCTCCTGTCTCAGTCTCTGAGCACTGAGATTACTTAGCCTGACCAGCTAAGAATCCTATGCTTATTTGGCACTCACCTATCTTCCTTGAAATGTTTGTTCAAATCTTTTGCTTCTCTTCCAATTGGACTGTCTTCCCAGTATACAGTTCTGAGAGGTTTTCTTCCCCCTCATTTTTCTTTTTTTGAGACACAGTCTTGAGGTGCAGTTCAGACTAGCCTCAAACTTGCGGCAATCCCCTTGCCTTAGGTCTGCCAGCGCTGGGATTACAGGCATGTGCCACAGGCCTGGCACTGAGAGTCCTTTACACAGTATATTCAGGATGCAAGTCTTCACTGTACTGTAGATAATTTGCAGATACTTTCTCCCAGTGTGTATCCTGTCTTTTTATTCTTTTAATGTTATGTGTTTTGAGGAGTTACTTTTGATAACCAGTTGTTAAATTCTTTTTCATAGATAATGCAATTGGCATGACATCCAGAAACTTTTGCCTAACTCATGGTCACAAAAATGTTTCTTTTACGTACAAGTTATTAACAGATACTTATTCATTATTAAATAGCTTTTCCTAATTTCTGCTTGGTCACGTATTAGTAATAGTGAGTTCTCCTAATGATATGCACCAGAAGTAATTTTTATCTTATACATTTTTTGTTTTCCTCAACACTACAAAGTATTACGTGATACCATCCAATGCTTATTTACTGAATTAGTCCACAATAAGTGATTTGCCAATACATGAACATAAAACTGTTCTTAATAACATAAGCATTTTTAAAATTAATGTCTTAGAAAATAATTATCCTACTTTTTCAGTATACAAGATTTCATGGGCCATGATCTTCACTCATTATGATATTTGTAATGTTTTCAGTGAACACATTATATAAATTTTAATATGATAAATATTTATCTAATATCTACTATATACAAATCATCCAGCTAAGTACAGATATAAATGACAATAGCTACCAAACTAGATGTCAGACATCTTATATATTCTAATTTTAATCTTTAACTTGAAGATTTTCATCTTCAAATCTTTTTATCATCTTTAAATTCAGGCTTAGAAGAGTTTATTAAAGAATGTGTTCAAGGGTGTGGCTAGATACTGGCTAAGCTTTGTATTCAGGATTGAGTCAGTAAACAAAGGAGGCATGATTTGAGGCTGACTCCAAAGACTATGTTTTAAGATAGTGTATCAGTGAAAAGACAATACTGTTAAAATTCTTATTTTAGTAAAGTGAAGATGCTCTGAATTTGGTACCTGACAGACCTCAGCTGCTTCCGGTAAATGTACAACACTTCCTTGTGCTCTCAGCGGTGCTATGGAAAGACCAGCACTGGAATCTGGCTGCAACTCCAACTCTCCCAAACTCATTGGGCCACGACTAGCACAGGAATCTTCACAAATACCACCTGTTAGCAAATATGTGAGCAAAAACTAAAATAAACTGGTTACCTTAGAGAAGAACAAGTAATTAACTAAAGCTACCAATACTTCTTTGCCATACTACAAACAGCAGTGTACTTTAACCAAAAACATCTGGTATCAAGCCTTTGATGAAATTAAAATCAAAGCTCATAGAGAATGCCCTGGAGATTCTACGTCAAGCTCCATCAAGTTCCCCCTGCATCCCTCCCAAGCCTTTCCTACATGCCAAACCATGTTCTCCTGCTTATCTTTTTTTTTTTTTATTTAAAGAAAGATAAAAACAGAATAGAAAACGGGCAGAAATAGTACATACTTTCAAAGAAAAGAAATAAACAATAATAAATCACTAGTTGATGTATACATATTGTCCCCCCACAAATAATTGTTCAAGATACAAAAGTGGAACATATAAATGGGAATTCAACCAGGGAGACTGCAAACCATTCTGTTCCACTATCCAACAACAACTAAGTAGTATGAGTATCAATCCTATACACTTAGACATGTACACATTTACCCATATCTTCATTTATGTTGAGACCTAACAAAATTCTTCTGAACAAAGATTAATAATATTGCTGGATTTCACATCATAACACTCCGGAATCAACACTGGGTACTGCAGTGCCCCTTTCTTTCCTTCAGAGTATTTGTTCGTTTCATCATGTGTCATAAGATCAGTTCTCATAAACTGTTTATAGGTTTTACACAAGCATGAGTCTTAACATGTATTTCTATCCTTTCTATATTAGACGGAGAAACAGAACAAAGCAGGACAGAACTAAACATATTCCTATAGACTAAAAGACATATAAAACTGCTGTATAAGGAATTCTACCATGGTTACTGTGCTGTTTTGTTATCAGCAACCAAATTGGCTGATAAGGTATAACTGAACATATCAGTACATAACAGAATTAACAGAAATACAACTTTGTAAATAGTGTAGAGCTACAAAAACAGGTAGTAATCAAATCAGAATGGATATCATGGTGAATCATTGTCATTTTCAGTATAGTTGTCTATACTCCTCAACTTGATACCAGTAACCTAACGTCTTGAATAAAATCTGTCAATAATAAGCAGTATTCAAACAAGTCAGATTTAACTAAGATCAGTCATGATACAACAGTGTAAGTCATACAGGGATCCTGATTGAGTTAATAGGAAATTAAAGATGACCACTGTGCTATGTCCTGATATTTTTGGGACAACTCTCTGTGCCCTCAGATCCAGTGCTTGTATACAAACTAGGATGGAACAAGTTCCAACCAACCAGAGTGGTGCGAGTAATAAGGGTTTTAATTCCTGATACACTATTAGGTATATCTTCTGCTGTTTTTTTTTTGAAGACTATTCCCCTCCCCACTTTGATCCCCCAGAATGAACTGTGTATTTTCGGGTCTCCCCTTCACTCACGCTATTTACCTAAGTATTTCTGAACTTTCTCACTCCTGGGTTGAATTTCTAGTTATATTTCTTCATTTATTAAAGCCTGTCTGTTCAACCTATCCATAAATACTGGCCCGGTTACCCCTATTACTCTCTGGTTCCCTATCACATTGAATTCCATTTTCTCATATTTGATTTTGGTCTATAAAACCTTCTTCAGGCTAATTATATTTCCTATAAAGAGTCTCTTAGTGGACCCTACGTCTTGATCCACTCTGCCTGCGATTCTCTCTTTTTTCCCTTAAGTTAGTGTATTTAGGCCATCTATATTAGAAATTATATTCAATCTTCTTTGCCTCATTTCTGTTATGCTCTTTTTCTGCCATTAGTTGTCTGTCTGTCTTCTTCATTTCACTTTCTGTTCCATTCATTGTGGCCTCTCTGCCATTGTTTCTGGAATTTTGGTAATTTTCCCTCTCTTCAGAATGTCCTGCAGTATTCTCTGTAGAGTTGGATTGGTGGTTGTGAATTCCCCCAGTTCCTCTTTATCTTGGAAGCACCTTGTTTCTCCATTAATTTCTAGGGACAACTGTGCAGGATATATCAATCTTGGCTGGAGATTATTGTCTTTCAAGGCTTGGATTATTTTGCCCCACAATCTTTGAGATTTGATGGTTTGTGCCGAGAAGTCTGCTGTAATTCTGATTGGTGTTCCCTTGTAAGTGATCTATTTCTTGTCTCTGACAGCTTTTAATATTCTGTTCGTATATTGGATTTCTGGAATCTTGATTATTAATTATAGGCCTGGGTGTAGTTCTGTTTTGATTGTAGGTGGCTGGAGTTATGTATGCCTCATACATCTGAGCATCTTTCCCTATTCCTATGTTTGGGAAGTTTTCCTTTATTATTTCTGTGAATACCCTTTGCAGTTCCTTTGTTTGTACCCCTGCTTCTCTCACATTCTTTACTCTTAAAGAGTAAATTCTCTTGTCATCTTCAAGCCTTTGTATTGTTACTGCTTATTTCCTTGTTATTTTTAAGACGTTTTTTCCTTTCATGTTCCCACATTACAAATCTGTCCTCCAGTTCAGATAATCTATCCTTAGTTTCTTTCTAGCTGTTATGCCAGCTTTCAATAGTTTTTAGTTTCCTGGTAATTTCTTTGAACCTGCTTCATGTATTCTATGTTTTCTCTATTTTCTCCATCATAAATTTGCCCCCTTTTTTTTTGTTCTTCCATTCTACCATCTGTTTTTTCTTGGGAGTGCCTAGCATTTCTTTAACTATTCTACTTATATCTTGCTTTACTTGGTTAAATACTTCACTTTTGAACTCGTCTATGAGATCCCGAAGATATCACTTTATGTCTATTGGTGCCATGCCTGATATTGCATGTTTTCTGTCCTCATTCTCCTTTGCATTTACCTTTCCTGGATCAGGTTCTCAGGATTGGGGACCGAGGACCCTTTCCTGTTGCCTCTGCTTCTCATATTTTTTGTTCCTTCCATACAAGCATATATTGGAGGCCCAGTTTCTTTCTTTGTTGGTTTCAGTTTGTCTGAAGCATGCTGATGAGGTGGTCCCACCCACTGCAGTGTACTAGGAGGTACAGATCCGGGTAGCCTATGATGGGCCCGCCCCTCCAGGTCAACCTACTGAAGGCTTCACTGTGAGGGTGCACTGCCAGGCGCAGGGACCTGGTTTGGACTAGCCTACTGGGCCTCAGTCATGGCATCACCCAGGTCAAGTGCTCCCCACCAATCCCACTTGAAAGGGAAACGTGACTGAAGTCACTGCAGCACCCTGTTCCAGTCAGTCTGCCCAGTCCCAGAACGTCCTCTGTTGGAGCCTCCTTGTCTATGGAAGGGTCCCTGTTCCTCTCACTCACCACAGGTCGATGTAGGGTTCCCCGCCAGTTCTGCTCTCATTTTGGTTCGACAATTCCCGCTCTCAGAGCGTTCGTGTCTCTATCCAGGCTGTGCCGATTCAGGCGCAGCAGCAGCAGGGTATTCAAGCTGCGGGTTTCAGCGGCAGCACTGAGACTTTAGCTGTTCCAATTGTAGCACTGGGATTGCATTTCCAATTGTTTTCTCTCAGCTTAGTTCATTCCTGGGTCGGTAGGGTATATCTCCCTCTGCTTAGGAGTCCCCCCACTGCACCATTCCTGGAATCTAAGCTGGCTATTCAGAGAGCTTCTATAGCTGCTGTTATCTATCTGCCATCTTCTCTGCACCCCTTCGTGCTTGTCTTTCTCTCACAAGAGTTAAGAAAATATATTCTGTTGGAAATGCAGTCTTAGGAAAAAAAAAAACATCTCCTGCCTAAAAAGTGTTTGCTATTACTTAGCTCTGTTCTGTGGGTATTTTTCTTCAGGTTCTTCCTTTCCTCAACTAAATGACATCACAGTCAATTTCATAAGAAAAGAAGTAGAGATTTCTACTTCTAAAAATAATACTGTGTCTAAAAATAATACTGCTATATATGTTTATTGTATTTTACACTTTGAGTATTTTCATATACATATATTATCTCATTTAGTTTGAACTTCACAATTGCTCTTTAAGATAGGTCAGGCAGTGTTATAAAGTGCCCTCCACTGAAAAAACTTAACCTCAATGAAGTTAAGTGACTACTACATTTAAAAATCAGAAAGTGTGCTACAGAGTTCTATATTTCCCAATTATATGGCCACCTTTTAAACACAATAGAATAGAATATATCTCATTTTAACTAACAGAAATAGAATTGAGGAGTTGCTTGTAAACTGAACTGTTTTAATAAAATATTTTAGAGACACCACAGATATTTTACATTTAAAGGCAAACACCTTAACTGAAATCGCACAATTGACAATTTATAGATATAGCAAATAATCACACTCCTACCTTTTATATTAATCTAGCTTTACAGGATGGTTGTATGGAGTTTCAAAAATGGCAGCTTGCTAGGGGATTGGGTGGAGAGTCTCTCCAGAGAAATCATATTAGATGCTAGAATATGACAACATGGAGAGGGCCAGACGAATGGATAATGATTCTTATTAACCAAGACAGCACAGCTGGAGGATTTAAGGTCATGCTGAGACTGCGATGGCTGAAAACAGGAGTCTGCAAATCCCACATCTTTAACGCGGCACACTGACCAGTGGATCCAAGAGGAAAAGCTGTATTGGCTTTTGGTGACTGCTGGAAATTGAGACCCAGGACCCCGCAAAGCAGCCAGGGCAGCCCGCTGCACTAGAGGAGACTGTGAGAAGCTCCAGAGTTCCGAAGCCGGCACTGTGCAGTTTTCTGACTGTTCCGCGCTAAGTCGGGAACACAGTGAAGACAAGTGGCGTAGTGTGCAGTAGACTGAAGAGGAAGACCTGCACTGAGTCATGGGGATTGGGTCCCGCGGCTGCTGTGGCTAGCTGGAAGACAGCTTGGAATTGGGCAGAGCCCACCACTACGGCGACATCAATAACACGGGAGAGTCTGGTGAAAGACATCTTTGAGTTTGGCAGAGCCCGCGGCTCAATGAAATCAGACAGTCACCCCTGGCATAGAGAGGTCTGGTGGAGGACATCTTGAAAGTGGGCAGAACCCAGCGCCGT